AAGTTCCATCAGTGTAGCATGATTTCTCCATCTCCCTTCCCCTGAGTTTCTGCTCCTGGAGGACATGGGACTACCCAGGAGTGGCCGGGGGGGGGGGGATGACCAGTGAACATCAACCCCCTTCCATCAGCAGAAATTATCAAAGGGATCCAACCCAGTATTGCAATATAAAATCTAACACTGGCTTAGGGAATTGTTTTGCATGCTATAATGGGTGGGTGGATTTAGCTTCTGCCTCATTCCTTGTGTATTATACAGGTTCCCTGTATTTATACAAGTGGCACAATGTGTCTATGCAAATACAGCTCATTCTCCCCCCCCCCCCCCCCCCCCAGTCACATTGTAAAAACAATTGGGAACTATTGTCATAAGCACCAGTCCATATGTACCCACTGTTGTCAGCTTTCCTGTGGTTTATATAATCTGCTGAACTGTTATTTCAAAGCTCCTTTCCCTGGGACCATTAAATGCATATTTATGTAGTGGGCAGTACCAGCACTACCCAATCACCTCTACTAGTCTAAAATGCTAATATCTGCCTTCACCCGATTGTTTCTGTGATCAAAAGCTGAATAAACCAGGAAATTTAGGAAAACAGACTTGTTTTTTCTAGCCCCCACACTTCCTATTCTATTCTGTCCTTTGGGGCATACTATGCTTGTATCTTGTGCAGTGGAGCCTGGAATAGGAAGGGCAAGCCCAATTTAGTGTAACAAATAAACAGCGCATCACCCAGGATTATTCACAGTAGTTAACTCGGCATCCCCTACTTCTACAGAAGTGGGAACTGTGGCACAAGAGAAGGGAATGGATGCATTCAGGATACAGAATGCCTAGAAATCATGTCAGAGCTGGGAGGATGAAGCATTCCCAAGCCCAGCCTAAACACAGCACCACATTGATTTCCCTCCACAAAGGAGGGGAAAAAACTATTAAAGTGCAAATTGAACTGTGCCAGAAGAGCACACGCAAGCACTGTCTCCCTCTTATCCTGTCCAGGAGCCTATCCTGGGGGGCCAGGCTGTTCTAGGACACTGACCAGATTCGTGGCTCCATCTTTTCCAGAACTCAGATCCTCATGGCACAAAAATCTGCAGCCAATGGCTACGTAAGGTTCAGTTGCTACCTGGTGACCTTTATTATTGAGACTACCAAAGGAAAACAAAAGCGGAGGAGAGGTCTGTGCAAACTTACGCTGGAATGAAATAAGTATGCTTCTGAGAGCAGAATGTACACACGTGCACATTTCTCTACCTCCCCTAGTTTCTGCCTTCCTAGATACACAAGACTTCCCCTTACTCCAGAGCACTGAGTGGCTGATTTGGCACCTTAGTTCGGAAAACAATACTTGTACAAGAGTAGCTTGCAAAGAGAAAGGAAAAGAGAAGAAAGCTCGTAAGAGCTACTGTGCATAAGAGGAACTGGCTTCACCTTTTGCAATCTATTCCTGCTGCTAATAAGATAATCCCAAAAACATGACAATGGCAGAGACCCAAAGGGGCATGGTGGTGGTGAATTCTCTGCTTTGTGATGGTATCCAGCTGATCTTCTGCTAATTCACGGGGTTTGGCGGGGCAGAAAGCCCTTGCCCCAAACACAGGCCAGCACAAAGATGCCTGGGAGAGCGCTTCTGTAACTAGTCTGCCTGGCCCCATGTTTTCTGCCAATATATGTACCATAGCAGCAGTTTGTGTTGTATTCTGAGTTTGGATACAGGCAAGAGGCCTGTGCTTCTGAGTACACACTTGCCCTTTCAGAAGCAAATTTGGTTAATGACTATTTTTAAAAAACGGTTTTGAGAAAGTACTAGAATTTATCCAGTATGTTTTTCCTGTTGTCTGGATGTAAAGGGGATTACTTTAAAAAGTCTGAAGCACAACAACACAACAGAGTTGCAATGATGTGAATAGTTACTGCTGAGTAGTTTGGTAGAGGACATGGTAGAAGTTTTACTTGAGTCAGAGTTATACTAGAATAAACCTAAGGTAAGGCCAGAGTCAATCAACTGAGTAATGTGTACTTCACATTATAATTCCCTAAACTAAAACAAGCAGAGGAAGGACATTGATACTGTCTAGCAAACACATTCTTCCCTCATTTACTCTAGTGTAAATCTGATACACTAAAGTCAATGGGGGGGTCACTCCAGATTTAGAAACAGCAGAGATAAAAGCTATTCCTTACTGGTAATGTTGGAAGCAGCAAGCATTCGGGTAGCACTTCACAGACAAATAACAAATTGCTAGGAATTATGCACAGACTGGCAAATAGTTTCACAAGCCATCCAACACTGCAACTAGTAACAAAGAAATGCATCAGGCTGACACAAGCGGATCAAAGCAACAGTGCTGGCTGAACTCCTGCTTGGACCGTGTATTATGCTGCTGATCTCTGGGGAGGACATGGAAAAGGGGCAGGGAAATCACAGAAATTTGGCAATACAGTGCAGCATGAGTAGATACAGAGCACATCTATTAAAATATGCAAGTTTATACCGAACTGGAACCTTTTCCAGACAGGTTTATATAAATACACATATAATACTTTAGGACCACTCATGTAGTGGACTGTAGGTGGTGAGTGTGGGTTTGTCCTGCTTCTGCAACACAAATGCTGGCTTCACTTCACTTCAGAAGTCCAAATTTTAGGAGGTGAAAGTGACTTAACAAAATCTGCCCTGTTGCTAAGAGAGGCAAAGCTTCAGGAAGGTGGGATCTAAGAATTCCTTCTTCACTGCAAATCAAATAAATTGCAAAGTTCATGCCAAGGGCAGAACCATGAAGATTTCTGTCAGAAGGAAGGGTGGGTGTGTCTGATACAGAACATCTGACACAGCAATGTTGCAAGTTTCAGAAATTATGCAAAAACAACCATCAAACTGAGACCAGTGTGTATATCACATTGTAACAGCATGGAATAAGGAAAGACCCAAAGTGTTGAGAGTATGAGGAAAAGGAAATGTCTCTCAACAGGAAATGCTTCCCCCTCCCTGAGGGCAGAAAGAGTCCCCTTCCCAATTAGTAATTCAGCTGGATCTGTCCACAGAAGGTCCCCAGTGGCTGGAGATCTTGCCTAATCACATGGCTACCTCCTCAGCTGACATCTAGGTTCTGCATCCTCAGCTCACCACAGGCTGTAGCTCCTCCTCCACAGTTCTGCTGTGAAACCCTGTCCTCCTGCTAATGTCCGTCAAGCCATTCTTAAGTGGAAGCCTCACGTTTGCAACTATGCTCTCCTTCAAACAGCCTGCAAGATCAAGTACTTCATATCAATGCGTCCTTCAGAACTGTCAAATCAGAACACACCACCACGGAACATATTTCATCTCTCAGAGCACCCTGGCTCTTGCTTCTTTTTCAGATGAGGCTGGAACCTGGGCCTTCCCGTAGAGCCTGGAAATAGCACTGGTTCTTAAGAAAATTTAGAAACAACAGGCTTTACTGATCTCAAACTGTGATGCCATTTTTAAGGGGGAGGGGGTCAGAATAAAACAAGCAGGCTTTGGCTGTGTGCCGTGAAAATGAGAGGGAAAGGCTATGAATGCCAGTTGCAGAATACCTCTGGCTGATAGAAGAAGAAGAGATTGGATTTATATCTCGCCCTTCACTTGGAGTCTCAGAGTGGCTTACAAACTCCTTCCCCTTCCCCTCCCCACAACAGACACCCTTGTGAGGTGGGTGGGGCTGAGAGAACAGCCCTGACAGAGAGCTATGGCTTGCCCAAGGTCATCCAGCAGCTGCAGGTGGAGGAGTGGGGAATCAAACCCTGTTCTCCCAGATTAGTGTCTGCGTACTTAACCACTACACCAAACTGGCAAGGTGCCATATCAAACAAAGACAGTGGAACAAATTTAGAGTCCAGTGGCACCCTTGTTGGTCTTAAAGGTGCCACTGGAAAGTCCAGCATGGCTGACCACCTGGAACAAAGACAGTGTCAGGAAATATCATTTCATGTTGCCAAAGCGTACTATTTCCAGTTGAAGTGAGAATCACTGCAAAGAACATCAAAAATACTTTTCAGTGAGATCATGGCTGGTTGTGGACTACAGATTCTTTACTCACCCACTGCTATCAGGTGGGGTATGTCAGTGTTCCTAGTGCCCAATAAAGGATAGAAGGGAATCTTGTTGGGAAGCTGATGTTTTCCTCCCCTCCAGGTAAGGAGGGGGAAAGGGGCTGTTTCTGCAATAACAGCTTAAGGGGTGGGCAGAGCAGAGCTACCGATTATTCCAGCAAACATAGTGCTTGTAGTTAGTATGCATGGAGTGGGAGCAGCATCTGCTGTGGGCTCAGGAAGGGTTAAAAGCACCTCTTTCTCAGTGATCCTCTCCTGTAAACGCCCTCCTCCTCCTCCACTTCAGTACATCAAGGCAAAGACGGAGCCAGATTCCCTGTACTGGCTTCATGACACGTAGCTCCACACCTGAGAATCTGGGCATTTCCCTTTTCTAGACAGGCAGACTCAGATGCCTGGGCATCCTGCTGCTTCCATCTCTTCCCTTACTAGTTTTGTTTGCTAACAAGAAAGTATTCTTCAAGTTACCCTCGCAGGCATTTCAAAATTCAGCCACCTACTCAAGAAGGAACTTATATCATACCTTTCTTGTCCAAATGAAATCTGTTATGGAGTGCTTTGACTGACTTCGGCTTTGCCTGGAGAAGAACAGGAACTTTGTGGGATCTGGTTTTGGAACACAGTATCTTAATGGTGGGGTTGCAGAAGAATATGAACCATCCCATGCAATTCCAGGTAAGGAATTGCCACTTACCCTCTGCAATAAGACAGCAGCTAAATCCCTTCTTATAGACACAGTCAAAAAGAATTATGGCTCCAGGCAAAAATGAGCCACAGAAAAGACCATATGTAACACTTCCCTTATCACAATTAAACAGAAAAGATGGTGTTATCTTTTAGCTACAGGAGCAGTTCCATGGCTGCTCCCTAAAAGCCCTGAAGATCACTGAACTTAAAGCTTTATGCCAAAAGCTCCTCTAGGCGAGCCGAACTGGCAGTTGCTCAGTATAAATAAATAAGATATGCAGAAACCAAAATATAATCTCTCTCTCTCTACAACCAAGTCACCTCTTCAGAAGCACACTCTCCATGCACCCCTCTCTCTCCTCTTCTTGGGCTGAAAATGACAAGTAAGTATGGAGGCATTCAAGCTTCTTCTCTGTATGCAGAACAGCAGAGTAGAGGGAAACGTATAAATAAAGGGAAGACTGATCCCTCCTGTTTCTCCGAGCGCAGCAAAGACACAAACTTACAACTGGACTGCATTATATGGAACCAATGGTCTTGTTACTTCCACTGTCCTTTGGAAGGTCTTGAATGTGTGAACCTTTGAGCATGTGAGAAGAACGAGACTGTGGCAGCCGCAGGAGGTGGGGGGGGGATGAATGAGTACTATACATGGATTTGGATTTTAAACGACTAAAGATGACAGAGCTGGAAAAAAGGCAGTGCCGACAATGAACAATAAAGATGGTCTGTGTAATGCAGGCCACCTGTGGAACTGTCCATCCCCTGTGCCATCCTGGGGGGCCTGATACTCATTGGGTACCAGATTCAGAATGCATCATGTCCGTCACCCCCAGTTCCCCCAGCACAGTGCAGCCAGGGGACAAAAAGCACCTTCTGGATGGAGCTGGGATGGCAACATCTCTCCTCATTTGCTCAGGGCCTTGGCAAAGATGATCTCACCATTAGGCTCAGTGGCGGGGGCGGGGTCATCTGGATCGCTGTCTGTGGTGCCATCACTCTCCTTGCCAGAGCTCTCAGCACCCCGTAGAAAGTGTGCATTATGGGGAGACAGTGGGTACAAGACATCCTGCAAAGCACCCACCACCATGGGGCTGGTCAGCAGCTCTTCATCTGAAGAGTGCAGTGAGTCATCATCTACCGCCAGGTGACTAACAATATGGATGCCATCAAAGCCCATGGAGTCCTCAAAAGGCTTTGGCCCCTTCATCAGTCGGATCTGCAGGGAGACAGAGAAACGGCAGTAGAGACAGGCATAATGGAAACCACAGAGC